GAGTGTCCTTGTCCCTGGGAGGAATGCACTTGCTCACTAGGAGCCCTGGGTCCTCCTATAGGACAGAGTTCCCTGGGGCATTTGAGGTCCATTGGAAAGGTTCTGCACTGTTGAGTCTTAGCAGGGTTGGCCTCTCATGACAAGCCCCAGCTCTCTCTGTTTATCATCTGCCTCAGTGGCCAAGCCTCTGGGAGCAGTCTTGGCTGCAAGGAAGGACTTTGCTGCATCTCAAACTTGGGCCACCTTCCGAATCTGGCTTTCTATTATTTTATGCCTGCTATGCTCCATACCCTGGGATGGGGTGGCTTTAGCTATGATCTCTCTTTTTTGTTGTTGTTTGAGACAGAGTCTTGCCCTGTCACCCAGGCTAGAGTGCAATGGTGCGATCTCAGCTCGCTGCAACCTCCACCTCCTGGGTTCAAGCGATTCTCCTGCCTCAGCCTCCCGAGTAGCTGGGATTACAGTTGCCCACCACCAAGCCTGGCTAATTTTTGTATCTTTAGTGGAGACAGGGTTTCACCATGTTGACCAGGCTGGTCTCAAACTCCTGACCTCATAATCCACCCGCCCCAGTCTCCCAAAGTGCTGGGATTACAGGCGTGAACCACTGTGCCTGGCCTAGTGCAGAGCTGGGATTGAATCCAGCTCTCTCTCACTCCAAATCCCTTGCACTTTTTTACTATAGCTGCGAAACATTATCTTGGAAAAGTGAACATTTTTGTCGTTTTCAGTATGGCTTTTCAGTGGCCTTACATTCATGCTTGATTTCCACTGGAAAAGCTAGCACATGATGGAAATGTTGGAAGCAGGGAAAGAATACAAGACAGGGGCCCCCAAAAAGAGGACATACCACCCAGATAAGATGTGATGTGAAACCTGTCTTTTGAGTATATACAGATGGCATAGTTGTGCCTAGAATTTCTACATTGCCTTTGGCTGTGTAGGTCTTTTTAATGGGGTATCTAAGAAATTCTAACATCTTTTCTTAATGAGTAAAGCCAGTGTTTGTTCCTGGAAGAAAGGCAACCATGAAATTATTTTAACCTGTAACCTACGGAATGTTTGTAGCTTTAGAAGCACGTATTGTTTCCCTTGAGCCAAGTATGTTTGCATAAATACCACTTAAATAGTGCGTCTTTGTCTTTGGTTATGCCAAAGACAAAGGGGATACCCCTATGGATACCCAAAGGGTTATGCCACCGTATGGGTGAGGTAGGGGCTCTAAGGGTGAAATTCTCCTTCCACAGGGATTTATTTTGTGGTTCACAAAGGACAAGGAGCTCTTTAAAATTTTTTTCCTCAGCAATTTGTGGACTAGAATCATTAAAATAGAAGAGTTCCTAGAAGTCATTTAGGTTATAAATTAAAATTTACTCCCCTGGTCAAAGGAAACCTTCATGTGCAGCCCATGTTGATTGAGGGCCTACTGTGTGCTAGGCAGGAGTTAGTTATGTGGCTTGGCTGCTCCCTCTTCAGCCTTCTCTCACACCACCTCCTCTTGCTTCCCAAGCTCCCAACTCCAGAGACTTGAGCTTTGCTGAGCTTTTGAACATGCAAAGCCCCTCCTTCCCTCTGGGCCTTTGCCTGTGCTGTTTCTTCAGCCTGGAATCCCCTTCTCCACTGTTTTCTCTGATGGCTTTTCCTCCTGTCTCACACATGCTCCCCTTACAGATGCTTTCTCTACCCCTAGAAGGGGGGAAAGCCTCATTCTCCATTTGGCTTTCTTTCTAAGCACATTTTTAAAATCCTTCCAAACACTTCTAATTTTTAATTATATATTTGTTTCCTGATTTACTCTCTTGCTTTTCCACTAGTCTTTAAACTGTGTGGAGGCAAAGCCCAAGTCTGATTTGTTTACCAGAATATCCTTCGCATTTAGCATGATTCCTGGCATGTAGTAGGCAGGGACTCAGGAAATACAGTCATGTGCCACATAACATTTTACTCAACAAACCGTGTAAAGGATGGTGGTCCCCAAATGTTATAATACCATATTTTTACTGTACCTTTTCTATGTTTAGGTGTTTGTAGGTACCTAAATACTTTTCTTTTTTATTGTACTTTAAGCTCTGGGGTAAATGTGCTCATTCTGCAGGACTGTTGCATAGGTACACATATGCCGTGGCGGTTTGCTGGCTCCGTCCCCCCATTGCCTGCAACAGGCATTTCTCCCGGTGTTATCCCTCCTCAATCCCCCCACCCCCTGCTCTCCCTCCCCTCCCCTGGCCCCCCATCTCCTAATCTACCCCAGTGTGAGATATTCCCCTCCCTGCGCCCATGTGTTCTCATTGTTCAGCACCCCGCTATAAGTGAAAACATGCGGTGTTTGGTTTTCTGTTCTTCTGTCAGTTTGCTGAGAAGGATGGTTTTCAGATTCATCCATGTCTCTACAAAGGACACGAACTCACCATTTTTTATGGCTGCATAGTATTCCTTGGTGTATATGTGCCACATTTTCTTTGTCCATTCTATCATTGATGGGCATTTGGATTGGTTCCAGGTCTTTGCTATTGTAAACATTGCCACAACAAACATACATGTGCATGTGTCTTTATAATAGAACGATTTATAATCCTTTGAGATATCCAAATACTTGTCATTGTATTATAACAGCTTACACCATTTAGTACAGTAACACGGCATACAGGTTTGTAGCCTAGGAGCAATAGGTTATATCATATAGCCTGGCTATATAGTAGACCGTCCCATCTAGATTTGTGTAAGTATACTCTATGATGTTCACACAAAGATGGAATCCCCTAAAAATGTGTTTCTCAGACTGCATCTTGTTGTTAAGTGATACATGACGATCTTTATTGATTTTTGAATAGACATTATCTCCAGTTGATGAAACTAAAGGTCAGAGAGGTAATGTGACTTCTCAAAGTTACCCATCTAGTGAATGGCAGAGGTACGATACTAATCTAGTTCCTGACTCTCAAATCCAATGTTCCTTCACTTTGCAGTGCTGTGTGACTTTTATTTTAAGAACATAGCTTTGCTGCCACATGGTTGGGATGATAGAAGTAGGTTCTTTTGGCTGTAGCAGTTGTGTCTTAGCCCAAGAAATGAGAAAGTTAAAGAACAAGGTGCTCGGACACATCAGACCAAGAACATTTTGAGGGAGACAACAGCATGTTCTCTATTAACTGGGAGCTCCTTGGGCTCAAGAGTCATAGCTGTCCAAAGGCTGGCAGTGCTGTGACCAGAGAAAGTCATTTAGCCTGATTTAGTCAACTCAGAGAGAAGACTGGATTGGCTCCTTTTTCTGTGTCCTGGAGCAGACAAAACATGGCTTTGTCTTCTGAGGATACGTGGGCCGTGAAGACAGATATTGAACAGCCCTTTTAGGGGAGCGAGAAGGTTGATTTGGCAGCATGAGAATGCAGAGAGCTGCCTGCCATCTTGCTGGGTCTGAAATGACCTTTTTGTGCATGAAATGAGGGATACCGGCCATGGCTGTTGGAGGCCAGTAGGCCCTAAAGAGGTGGAAGAGAACACACGCTAGAAAGAAGGCTTTTGATCTCCCCTAGGATGCTGATAAGCAAAGCCCATTTTCCCTTTCCTCTGATGGAAAGCTTTATTGTGGCCTTCACTCATTGTGAATCATGATGTTAGAGGGGCATTGTTCTGTCTCTTGGCTTGCTGTTGAGGTTGCTGTGTGAGGTCTGAACTGATGCCCCAGAGTCCCTCTAGAGTCCCTGCTTTGCCAAGGCCAAGCTAGCGGAATTATGGGAGAAGTGACAGGCCTGCCCAACTCCAAAGCCTCCTTGGGATTCAGCAGCTAATTTCTGGTCTCTGCATTTAACACAGATCGAAATGGTTTCTTAAAAGTAATTTTTTAATTTCTTTTTTTTTTTTTGAGACAGAGTCTCACTCTGTCATTCCAGGCTGGAGTGCAAAGACACCATCTCGGCTCACTGCAACTTCCGCCTCCCAGATTTTTTTTTTTGTTCTTAGTTCATGTCTTTTGTTAACTCAGTTACTTGTCTTCTGGTTTGTTGAAGCAGTAAGTCAGACAACACTTGCCACAATAATGTCTGTCAAAGTGGCTTGCCATAAACACTCCAGCACCACATTCATCAGAAGGGCACTCTTGACGAAGGCGACTAATTTTGCCATTCTCATCCACCTTATAATATTTCAGAACAGCCAGCTTAACCTTCTTTCTCTTGTGCTTATTCTTCTTGGGAGTGGTGTAAGACTTCTTCTTCCTTTTCTTAGCACCACCACGAAGTCTCAACACAAGATGAAGAGTAGACTCCTTCTGAATGTTGTAGTCAGACAAAGTACGTCCATCTTCCAGTTGCTTGCCAGCAAAGATCAGTCTTTGCTGATCAGGAGGAATTCCTTCCTTATCCTGGATCTTGGCCTTTACATTTTCTATCGTATCTGAGGGTTCAACCTCGAGGGTGATGGTCTTCCCCGTAAGGGTTTTCACGAAAATCTGCATTTTGGTGGCGACCCCACCTGAGGCGCAGATGGCGGATCGAAAAAAGCCCGCCTCCCAGATTTAAGCAATTCTCCTGCCTCAGCCTCCCTAGTAGCTGGAGCTACAGGTGCATGTCACCACACACAACTACGTTTTTTGTTTGTTTAATAGAGACAGGGTTTTACCACGTTGGCTAGGCTGGTCTCAAACCCTGATCTCAAGTGATCTACCCACCTTGGCCTCCCAAAGGGCAGGGATTACAGGCCTGAGCCACCTTACCGGGCCCCAAATATTTTTAGGTAAAAATTAATTATTTGCTTTATCTCTTTCTGCTGATCAGTGTCTTTCACAGCTCATGTTCTCTTTTCTCTTTCTGTGATGTCTTCCTTGACATTTTCCCCCTCTTTTTTGAAAGCTTTCTTCCTGGGACAGGCACTTAAACAAATGCTTTGCTTTCCTTCTTCTCACATATGTTCAGCTTTCTTCCCTAAATACGGGGAATGCCCAAGTCTCATAGAACATGTTGTTCCTTCTAAGACACACAGTGCTGTGGTTTACCATGCGCTCCATGGACGTAGAACTGAATCACAGCGACTCCAGGAAAGGATTTGGTGATCATCTTGTCAAGGAGTTCCCACCCTGGGCTGTGGGCAAATGTGGGACAGGGGTGGGGTAGATGACACTCCCTTCCTCTCCCACCTAAATAGCCATTCTTTGTTTTACATAGAGGGGAACTTCTATTTAAAATGTTGCTTGATTAAAAGGCTTATGGCTTAAAACTATGGTTTGACAAACTCTATTCTAATTCAAATCCTCCACGGAGGCAATGTTGATCTAAATGAATTCTTAGAGAAATTCTTTAGAGATATTGAGCTTTTAGAGGGCAATCTGTTGTTTTTAATTCTGCCTGAATTTTATCCATATAGTAGAATGTTTACAGGATTCTCTACAAGTATATGTATATTTTAATATGTGCACATAATACACACACATATGTATGTATATTTGTAAGGCTAGGTTCCAATGCTCACATCTTTAAAGAAGCAGTTGAGGCCGGGCACAGTAGCTCGCACCTGTAATCCCAGCACTTTGGGAGGCTAAGGCAGGTGGATCACAAGGTCAGGAGACTGAGACTATCCTGGCCAACGTGGTGAAATATCTTCTCTACTAAAAACACAAAAAATTAGCTGGGCGTGGTGGCACACACCTATAGTCCCAGCTACTCATGAGGCTGAGACAGGAGAATCATTTGGACCTGAGAAGCAGTGGTAGCAGTGAGCCAAGATAGCACCACTGCACTCTAGCCTGGGGGCAGAGCAAGACTCTGTCTCAAAAAAAAAAAAAAAGAAACAATTGATATCCTTCTATCTAGAAGTAATCTTGCATTACATTTTAATGTACTACTTAATCTTTTTTTTTTCTCTTAAAGTTATTTCATTGCCTTGAAGTAAAATGAGTTGTGATATTTCTTTATCTGCTATACTCTGAGCTTTTTAAGGTCTAAGACACTTAACTCTTTATCTTTGTAACCTCTATAACACCTAGTAATGTGCTCTGCTACACATGCAATTAAGGAATCAGTAGTTTATTTGAGAAGAATCATAAAGTAGAAAAACAATTGATGTGGGGGCCCAGTTGTTAAGAGTATAATATGTTATTATGAAGCCAAAATTTCATGCTTGGGCCTGATAAGAATCTAATTTATGTCTCATACAGAAAAATGTCACATGACCAAGACTGTGGCTTGGCCAACTATCTCACAGATGTATGCTGTTATCCACAAGATGGGACAGAGAAGATGATACTCATGGCTCAGTACAAATTAACTTCCATCACTGACAAAAACAACTTTAGCTATATTTAACTATAGGGCTTATTATAGAAGGCCAGTAATGTCAGTGGTATGAAGGACTGCATATGGCTGAGATGCTAGAGACCACTTTGGCACTAATAATCTGGAGCAGGCGTCTCCAAAACTAAGGCCCGCGGGCCGCATGCGGCCCCCTGAGGCCATTTATCTGGCCCCCTGCTGCACTTCAGGAAGGGGCACCTCTTTCATTGGTGGTCAGTGAGAGGAGCACAGTATGTGGTGGCCCTCCAATGGGCTGAGGGACAGTGAACTGGCCCCCTGTGTAAAAAGTTTGGGGACGCCTGATCTAGAACATTGGTTGTTAACATGGACTATTGAGTTTTTTAAATTAATTAATTATTTTTCGAGATGGAGTTTTTCTCTTGTTGCACAGGCTGGAGTGCAATGACACGCTTTCAGCTCACTGAAACCTCCACCTCCCAAGTTCAAGCAATTCTCCTGCCTCAGCCTCCCAAGTAGCTGGGATTACAAGCAGGCGCCACCACGCCTGGCTAATTTTTTGTGTTTTTAGTAGAGACAGGGTTTCTCCATGTTGGTCACGCTGGTCTCAAACTCCTGACCTCAGGTAATCTACCCACCTCAGCCTCCCAAAGTTCTGGGATTACAGGCATGAGTCACCGTGCCTGGCCGACTATTGAGTCTTGACAGAACTCAAATGCAAATTGAATTGATTGAATGTATGAAGACAAGAGTCAGGGAAGGTAGCCATATGGCTAACCAGTCAGTAAGAGAAATGTGAGCATTGGCAGATTTGTATGGTTCACGTGCCCAGTTCTCGATGTCAAATCATTTTCTAATTGTAAAATGACAGGAAAGAGATATGGTATGTTGAGTAACATAATTCAGCCAACATTTTTATTCAATGTCTACTACCTATATGGTATTACTATCTATAAGATACTATCTATAACTATCTAGAAGGTATTAAGATTCATAAAATGTAGCCTTTTACTTCCAAGAACCTGTAACTCTCCTTGACAGTCCTGTTTCACAAATTCTTCACTACATGGGTGGACATGATCAACTTTCAGTGCACCTGGGGTTGAGATTTCTCAGCAGTTATCACTGTTTTGCGTCTTAAAAGACAATTCCCTTCCAGGACCTGGCCCACCCTTTATGTCTTCCACTCTTCGTCTCTGGTCTGCACACTTAGAGCTCGGGGAATGGTTATGTTCTATCGAGTTTTGCTCATGATAATTTTGGTCACCAGGGAGCTGCTTAAAAAATTTCTTTAAAAAGACACGGAAAATGGGTGGTGAGTTTATGTGTTACAAAAACTATTGCATGGAAACTTGACTTAATTTAGGTCCCTGTGGGAAGTATTAGAAGATGACATTTAAGTCTATTATAATTTGTTGATAGGCACTAATGACCTTAATGAAACTTCACTGCTAACCAGTGATTAGGATTTACAGTGGGCATCATGTGACTCTAATTAATGGAGGTGTTTTTTGTGCTGCTTTGCTGTTGCCTTTGTTCATTCTTTCACCATGACACAAACAACAGGTTGTTTTAGCTTTTGGATTAAGTGTTCCTCTGCACATAAATGATACTTTTGTCACCTTGCGTTCATTTATTTAGAGACAGAGTCTTGCTCTATCACCCAGGCTGGCATGCAGTGGCACAATCTTGGCTCACTACAAACTCTACCTCCTGGGTTCAAGCTATTCTCCTGCCTCAGTATCCCAAGTAGCTGGGATTACAGGCACCCACCACCATGCCTGGCTAATTTTTGTATTTTTTTTAATTGCATTTTAGGTTTTGGGGTACATGTGAAGAACATGCGAGATTGTTGCATAGGTACACACATAGCAATGTGGTTTGCTGCCTTCCGTCCCCTCACCTGTATCTGTCATTTCTCCCCATGCTATCTCTTCCCACCTCCCCACCCCCCCTTCCCTCCCCCATTTCCCCCCAACGGACCCCAGTGTGTGTCTCCCTCCCTGTGTCCATGTGTTCTCTTTGTTCAACACCCGCCTATGAGTGAGAATATACGGTGTTTGATTTTCTGCTCTTGTGTCAGTTTGCTGAGAATGATGGTTTCCAGGTTCATCCATGTCCCTACAAAGGACGTGAACTCATCGTTTTTGATGGCTGCGTAATATTCCATGGTGTATATGTACCACATTTTCCCTATCCAGTCTATCATCGTTGGGCATTTGGGTTGGTTCCAGGTCTTTGCTATTGTAAACAATGCTGCAATGAACATTCGTGTGCACGTGTCCTTATAGTAGAATGATTTATAATCCTTTGGATATATATACCCAGTAATGGGATTGCTGGGTCAAATGGGATTTCTATTTTTAGGTCCTTGAGGAATCGCCACACTGTCTTCCACAATGGCTGAATTAATTTACATTCCCACCAACAGTGTAAAAGTGTTCCTATTTCTCCACATCCTCTCCAGCATCTGTTGTTTCCAGATTTTTTAACGATCGCCATTAGTTAGAATGGTGATCATTAATTTTTGTATTTTTAGTAGAGAAGTAGAGATGGGGTTTCACCGTGTTAGCCAGGCTTGTCAAACTCCTGGCCTCAAGTGATCTGCCTGCCTCCACGTCCCAAAGTACTGGGACTACAGTGAGCAAGCATGCCTGGCCATACCTTGCTTTTAAATCTAGTACTTATATGAAGATTTGGAGGGGCAGGGATGTCTTTTGACCTCTCTGCAAACAATACGGAAGAACTTGCTTTTCTTGTTGACACTGCCGTTGTCCACCTTCAATAATTAAAAAGGCTGTAATGTTTAAATTTGTGGGGAAATTGGGCATTTGTTGGTTAATTGGCAATATCTACGTGCCACAGTTAGTCCCATTATGCTTCAATTATATTAATTAAACTCTTGTCCTGGAGAGCAGGCATTCATTTATTTTTCTTCCCTGGCATCCCCCAACCATGTATCTGGAAGCCACTTCCTTGTGGTTTTGTGAGCACATGGAGCAGAATCTTGTTTTTTATTCATATATCCCCAGCACAGTTCTGGCATATAATGCATACTTAATAAATATTTGTTGAATTGAATCAAACAGGTAGAGACACAGTTTGGAAAATCCATAATGGTAACTCCAGTGATTTCTAAACTTGTTCTCTAGGTACAGCAGATGCTAGCCCATACAAATGCTTTGCAGGTCTTATTATTCCCATCTATCTCACTGTATTACTAAAATAAAGAAAACAACAATCTTCATGAAAGAAGAGAGATGGAAGAAGGAAGAAACCTATTTGAATGCCAGTTTTATGCCAGGCACAACGTTAGAAACTTTCACATACGGTATCTTATTTATCACCAAGGTATTTTTTCCCTTACCCCAGCGGGTTGTTTTTTTAAACAAAAATCCAGCTAAACCAAAAAAGGAATTGTAACTTGACTTTTTGGAAATCCCTAAGGGTACCAGATGCTGCTGAAGGATATTGATAAACATGGATCATGAGAGAAGTTCTTCTTTGTGGTCTCATCGGTAAATCAGCATCTTTTGGAAAAAATTATTAGTTGACAAATTGACAGTAAGCCATACCAACTCCCAAATCCTTCTTGTTTCTTATTCAGAGTCAATTGCTATTGACCTGGACGAGGCAACTGACTGTTTCTGAAGCAGAGTTGTAGGTGAGGTAGAGATAAAGTCATCTTCCTTGTCTGTGCTCTAAGAGGAGATGAACTAGATGACACGGCTGTGCTTCTAAAACAAAATGTGATTACAAATAACAACCAGGTGCCCTCAACCTCTGACAGTAGATGTGAATATGAATGCTGTGATCCCTTCTACACAAACATACTTTAAATGGACA